CCAACGGCAATAGAATATGACGTATCCGTGCACTGCTGATTGCCAAGATATTTCTCAACGGTAGATCGTTGCTTGCAGAGTGCCCTCCACGTTTCGGGAGACAGTACGAGTTCGTTTCTACGATGATTTCCTATCGCAATCTCGATGTAACTCGGCGGTCCAACGTTGACGCCTATTTCCAGATACTTGTACCCTGTAGTCGTTAATGCGTATCGTCGACATAGTATACGCACAGCACGACGCGCGGGTAAAACGCTATGGGAAAAACAATCGTTACAAATATGGGAAAAATAATAAAAATGCTATTAACTGAAAAATGAAACGTACTCAACACGTTGTTCCGTGCACGGTGTAGAATCGCCATCCTGAAGAGGTATGTAACAATTTACACGCGAGCTGCTTTCTTGAGCGGAGTACATTGCTGTTGGTTATTCAAAGTTTCCGCACAGACAGTTGACTCAATACTGAATGTATGAAAACGTGTACACACAAACCTGTACGACTCTTCGATTTAATAAAAACATGTGGGGAGGGGGAACATTTTCATGTGGGGAGGGGGAACATTTCATGCGTAAATGTCAACGCCGCCAACGTATAAGATTAAAAAACTCTTTCAAATGATGGAAATTCCCATCTGAAGGGCCTGATACCATTCTATCTGTTATTTTCCCTTTTTTATCTTTCAACGAGGCTCTCCCCCGAAGAGTCGGGTATCGAAAGGGATTTCCGTGTAAAAAATATTTGTTTAAAATACAGAGAAATCGCTGACATTTTCTAAAATATTTCTTAGTTACATCTATAATTCTATATCTCGAACATTCCATCGCAGCGTCAGGCCCAGTCCTATCCCTTTCCCATTTGTAAATACACAGCGTGTAAAGTAGGAATGACGATAGTGTCCGAATCGATTTCTATCTCGGATACCCGGATAATCAGCATCACTAGTGTAATGGATCATAGGGAGATACGGACGCAAATACCCCTACTCTCTTGACCGAAACAAATAAAATAGTTCATAGGGACACTATAAAAGACCCGATTCCCAAAAATGCAAAGCTCAAAAACGTATCGACTTCGAGACGAAGCACGTTCCCTTGGCTGAGTATCATTGGGAAACTACAAAAACAAAGGTATCGACTTCGAGACGAAGCACGTTGGGTGAATGTCATTGGAAAACTACAAGAAAACAAAGGTAAGTTCAAATTATTCATTAGACCCGAGCAGCGAATACGAGCTCGGTCTGAGACTTATAACACGATTGTTTACAGAGTCATGAGGCCTACAACTACTGACCCAAGGACTGAGGAGGAGTGGTACGGCCCAATTGATGGAGTCATCCCACACAACCACCCAGAAACATACCGTATATACCTTCAAGGTATATGTTCGAAGTCGATCGTGGACGAGTTCTACATACACGAGGATAGCGACAAGTTGCGATTGTGCAACGAATGTTTCAGCATAATGGGGAGACCTGCAAATTATGCGGCCACAAGATGGCACAGCTTTTGCGCGCCCCTCCAATCGTATCGTTTGTCGTCGTACGGACTCAGAGCGATTTTCGTCTCGGCTATAGTGTACACCTCATGCAGTTTCGATCTTATACAAGTTTGTCGGCGAGTCATTTCTATCTCGTCTCGCAGACAATGCGTGTAATCGTCAAATGTTATCGTTCGCGCTACCACGTTGCTTTTGACACCTTTAGCCTTCTTCGTATCTTTCTTACCGTCTACCCTCAACGCGTACATCTTCGCTCTGAGTCCCACGAATTCCGTCATTATCGCACCATTATTCTCATCTTTCATGAGACCGGGGACTTTCTTATTTACAAGCGGTATACCGTACGCGTTATCTACAGGATAATCGCTCGTGTCGAATCGTATATGTATATCGCGTTTCATCGTCTCGTATACATCCTCGCACTTGATGTGGTATATGAGACTGTCGGTATCCGTATACATGATTTTACATTGCTCGCGATACATCGGTAACATATATTCATGGTGAAATTCATACAAGCAGATCTTGGATATGTCGAGGATGCACATACCCACGTAGATCGGCTTGTTGAATTTCACTTCGAGTTTTTGCAACTCCACGGCGATTAAATTTTCTGAAAAAATGCTGCGGCTATGAAAATTCGGTTTCGAGATCATCGCCTCCCCACCATGGCGACCATCCCACTTTGTTATAAGTTTAACGTCGACATGTTTCCGCACGTTTTCCATTGTTTTACCGAATACCGCGTTGTTCATTAATTTGTATAAATTTTTTCAAAATCGTTTTTGGCCAACGTTCTAAATTGTGTGTTGAGTTCAATATATTTGCGTAGCCATGGAGATTGCGAGAACTCCAATATGCGATGTATTTTTGTCACGCGAAGCCCATGACGCGTGCACTGTTGCAGGTTGCGGTAGTGTATGACGTAACGCTTCTTATCATACACAGTCGCAAGTAGCTTTTCCTGTCGCTTGCCTGGCGGCTTATCGCGCGTCGGACAGAACGGTAGGTCAGTGTGCTCGTCGTGAAGATGCTGTGGATATTCGAGATCGACCTCGAGAATGTAACATGTCGATGAGTCCACAGCGATCGCATTTACATTAAAATCAGTAACGTTAGTGACCCATCGAAAATTCGCGTAAGGCAGCGGCTGACACATCGCCCAACCATACAAATTATTGACGTCAAAGTACATCAAGTATGAGGATGGTTTCGATGGATCATAAGACTGCATGTGTTTGTTATTGGCTCGAGCACATCTACCAGAACTTTTGCTGAGACCACCGCGTATGCCGCGTTTCACAAACATGACCATATCAATGTCCGTGAGGAGTTCGAAATTTATACGCGTATGTTTAAGCATGGCGTCCCACGTGAATTCTGGTAATGTATAATAATACGCGGGATCTAATCCATAACTGTTGATGCTACTATCGCGAAAATTTTCAAAAATATCGGCCAATAACAAGACATCGATCTTTAGATATAAATCGCTGTAGTCGCCTAGGGTTTGGATGGAGAATCGTTTCCAGACATTCTCGGCACGCACGTAATCGCTCTCTGATACGGTGTCACCGGTCAGAGAACTGAAAAATGACTCGCGCGGAGGTAGACGCGAGTCCTGCAGCTTGTCCGCGCAATCCACATATTCATATGGAAACACACCTTTACGCGTCAATAGATCGAAATCGTTGCTGGATAATTTTGAAAATTCAGATCGTACAATTTTTAATTGGTCTCTATGGAGAAACGATGCCAATCTATCGAGGCTAGTACTCAGAAATTTGTATGAGTCAATAAATCGCAGCTTTATACAATTTTGTCGCTTTGAGTTTTCTATGGTATTTTTTACATTTTTTGTAAAGGAAATATATGTTTCCTTCGTTATCGGTAATACATCAACTGTGCCCTCGAACGCTGTAGCGATTTTTTTAATTATGAAATGTGCGTCATAGCCGGATAAATTATGGAAAACGATTGGAATGAAATACGCATCTTTGTAATTTAAATTACAATTAGAATGCGCGGGGCCTCTATATCGCCCGGTTAGATGGCAATGGTCGCGTACTCTATCGTCACCCTGTGCGAATGGTTTCTCACATATGTGACAGTGTGTGGCGCTACGGTATGTCCCCCACTGTTCCTTCGACAAATTTTCCATAGGGACATTAGTGGATAATTTTTCTTTTACGTGTTGTGATAACACTTTGAGTTGGTCGGCGAACCACGCGACGCAATCCGTGTCGCGGCGGAAACGGTACGTTGACTGCGAGTTGTCGTACGAGCAATGCACGTAGTACGCGATGCTAAATACCTGGTGGTGCTGGTTTGCTTTGGTATCGGTATCGGTCTTTTTCAAGACGCACTCAAGGTCCGCGTACACTACAAACGGCACGCGTTCCTTCCTGCTGTGGTTGTTGAAGCTGAGCCACTTGTCCTCCTCGCTGGGTAATACGATCGCGCAGTTATTTATCTGCTGACAGTCCACGCTGTGGGCTTGCAACTTGATGTTGGAGCTAAAGTAGTGCAAACATCTGGAAAGAAAAACATGTTTTTAAATATATATATTTTTCAATAAAATAAGTTTCGCAAATCTTGTCGATACTCACCGATCGCAAATGTGCTTTTTGTGCTCCTTCTTGCTGAGTTGAGAACTGACGAGGCGGGACAAGTTTTTTATCCAGACGAAGTGGCCCGCTTCAGCACCCCCCTGATCTTGCACGTATAAAAGGTTCACGTGCTTCTCCTTCTTCTCGTCAGCAACTCGTAGCGGTACGATTGCGTGTTCACAATTGTTCTTTTCATCGATGCTGTACACGTTGATGGAAATACTGTTCAACCGTTCAAACTTTTTAATACCACTTAATGTCACTGGCATTGGAACGTCTCGCAGGTTTAACACATCGCTGTAATGCGGATACGACGATTTACGATTCACGTTTATTTCAGCTGGATAGAGAGCGGCGATCACCGACCACGCGAAACACGCATTGTCCTTTGATCGTACGTTGATCACTGCTTTCTTTCGTTTCACAACTTCTGGTATGTCTATATGGCATCCCGCGTGCATAGGATTGCACTTGTTCACGTTAATGGTTACGTTGTGTATACGCGACAGTGCCCACCCGCTATCACGCTCCTGGAATTCTTCGAGTTCGGTTAGAATCGGACCGATTACGTGCGACTCGTACCACTCGTGCAAATCTGTTGTATGGAATAGTTCATAGTTTTTTGTATTTATGCTTTTATTCGCACGTTTGTCACCCGCCACAAACTCCCCGTTGAACGCGGTATTCACAATTTACATAATTATAGCGCTTGATAGCGTCTCGCACGTGCTCGACCACTACATCGCGAGCGTCCTCGAGAAATTTGTGCGGCTCGATGTACTCCACGTTAATCACCGCACCGGTAAGCACGCGACTGTCAAACGCGGTGTCGATCTCGCGCCACGTCAGTTGCGCGCTCGAAGAAGGTCCGACACCACCACCGAAATGTACGAATCGTCTTTCAACTTGACACTTGACACACTCGAGTCACGCGATTCGAGCCACCAGCGATTGTTTGTTGCCAATGGACAATCTTGGACACTTGATACGGCTCTGTTCCTCTAGCTCCGCGATGCACTCGTAACATTGCTGCAGCCACCCCAAATAATCACCCAATGTGGCGATCCTGTCGGCTCGCTCTGCCAGATCTTGGTCTCGTCGCTCCATGTTGTCGCGCTAGCGTCTTTTCACGTTCGAATTATTCGGAACACTTGCATGTGACTCTATTACAGTTTGGGCAGCATTGCATTATATTTGTAATGAAATCCAATGTATCTGCATACTTATCATGTGCGATGTTGAACAATTTCCATTTAGAGTATTCTGGTAGATAATAGATCGGATCTTTATAAAATGAGTCAATGTGATCCGTATTTAGAATTTTACAATCCCGATCTTTCACCGGGATTCCGAGAACTGCCCGTTTGCCAATTGAAATCGAAATGCAAAGAGGGCCACACTTAAATGTTTTTTCCATAAGATTTTGTCCTTCCAATAAAAATCGTTCTTTCTATCACCAGACGTGACAATGACTCTTCGTTCAAAGCCTCGTTCGTACTTCCCACTTCTTTCGTCAATATATCCGAAATAGACTTTTTGTCTGACGAAGGGTTTATACGTCCTGCATATTCCAAGTTCTCGTTCGCGTTGAAATTGTATAAATGGTATATGTTGCCCATCTACATATCCTTCCTCTTCCTTGCACTCTTCCAGCGTTTGTTTATACAAGTTCTTTTTTACGCTACAAGGCCAGTATGAAATCTTCTCATCCACATCGACCCCTCTGACGTAGCATTTATTGGTCCAGCGTATACCGATTTCTCGATCACGTAAAAACTTCACTGGAGAGATTTCCTGTCGCCCTTCCCTGAATGCTTGGGGATCATCGAGAAAGTCCAGAATGTCATCTTCCAAATTTAAATGCTTCTTCCAAATATTTTTCTTCTTCAGATAGAATGTTACGATTCATGCCACTCTTCTGATGTGACTTCAAACTGTAACCTCTCAAACTTTTCCAACGGATTATATATCACCCACGATATCTTCGAATTGGATATCGGCTGAAACTTTAGGCGCAGTCTATGAACCGTGACATGCTTAACTGACGATCTTCTACTGTGGTGCAGTGATTTTTCGCCCTCATTATATACCATACCATACCCTTACCCTTTACCTCATCTGACCACACATCTACGAAACGTCTAAAAATTTTGGGGGTAAAAACACAGATGTTTTTGTAAACATGATCTGTTAGAACACACATCACGGAGGAATGCCCCGCGGTGATAGAATAATGGTCATCCCATAGCAGCCGCGTATCAGCGCTCGGTCCCATAACTTGTAACGCAGTGAAAATTTTGGGTAAAAGAGATGTTTTTCTAACATGATCTTGTTACGTCGTGTTTTCCGCGGAGCGTCCACTATCTCAAGTCCCTTTTTATCGGGACTGACTATGTGGAAGGACGTCGTACAGAGAACACTGTTTTCTCTCGCCGCGCTCCAACAGATGCGCGTCGAGAGTCGGGCGTATCTATTAAAGGGCTCGAAGTGGGTCAGTGAGCCAAAGCTCGCTATGACGCTCTTCGAGTTCTTATACGCCCGTGGGTCCTCTTTTGGGTCAGAGAATTTAATCTCTTTACCCGGGGACGGACCCTGTGCAATTTTAAAATAACTAGGAATGAAATGGGAGGTTTTTTATTGATTGATAGTTCTTGTTATCGTATAATATTTAAACTTTATATATATATGTACATAAGGAGAGATATATGTTATATATATATACTAATAATATATCTTGCTACACAGTTATTGTTTCTATTATAAATTCCACGCTGGATGTGGAGCTGGTGGGCGAGGGTGGAGAGATGTCGGGGAAGGGGTTATTAATAGGAGAAAGGGGAAGGAGTTCTCCAAGGAACTCCACGGGAGAGGTGTAGGCGCTGGGAGATCTAGAAGGGATATCTTTTAGCAGGAATTCCACGCTAGACGTGGAATTGGTGGGTGAAGGTGGAGGCAGGAATTCCACTTCGGACGTAGAATTCCCTGGGGAAGGGACGAAGAGAATTTCCTCGAGAAATTCTACGTCGGGGATCTCACCAAGGAACTCCACACTGGAGTCAGAATTAGAGGGGGAATGGGGAATAAAGTCGATGGGAGAAAGTACTGGGGAATAAGACGGAGATGAAGAGTATGTCGTGGTAGGCGGAGAGGGAGGAAGGTGGTCATACGCAGGGGGAGAGAAATCTAAAATCCTAGGCGCTCGGATATCCGCTTCTAATTCAAGGATGAGCTGTTGAGCGAGTTGGTGGATCTGTTCCAACCCCCCGTCTAGTTCAGCGAGCGCGAAGTGTTGATCCACTGTAATCGTGGAGTTTTATCGTGTTAGTCGCGGATTTTCGAATCTTCTAGTTTTATGGGGGTTACTTATATACTAAGTTCTAGGCCTCGATTTAGGTGGTGGAGAAAAGAGGACTTACTCGTAGTTGATGTTTAGCTCGTGACCGGTCGTGGAGATAGGCGATGGTCGAGGAGTTTGTCTTCTTCCTCTATAGGACTGATTGCCGGGGGACTCGTGGAAGGCTTCGGCAGTTGGCGATGGACGAGGAGGTTGTCGTCTTCCTTATGGTGATGGGCCTTAGACGTTTCTCACACGACTTATGTCACAGGTTTGTCTTTTACTAGAGAAGTTAAGTGCGCTTTCCTCCGCGGAATCAGGGTTTATATACCCTATTTTTCGTAGGGAGTGGGTCGAATACGCTGATTTGGCTGGCGCTTATTGGTGGATCGGAGCAACAATTTTCTAACTTATTTTCTAGTGGGGATTCGGTGGCGCCCGATTGTCGCCTGTTTTTTTTGGTGACAAAGGGTACCAGTCCTCTCATCGTTTGCTAATAAAGTAAGTTTAATTATCTCTTCTAGAGCGCGGCTGTAGGTCGTAATATGGTGACGGTAATGGGATTTGTCAATTAGGAGGTCTGGTTCCACTTGTCATCGTGGGTTTTGAGAGTTTGACAGATCATAAAAATGAAGAAAGATTGTTAGTTCGTAGAAACGAAGATTGTTAGATCGTAAAAAGGAAAGATGGTTAGATCGAAAAAAGGGAAGATTGTTAGATCGTAAAAATGGGAGATTGTTAAATCGTAAAAATGAAAGGGTATAGTTTATCTTGCAGCTGTGACCTCTCATGGGTCGACAACCTCTCATTTCCTTACTGTCTTCCTATTGGGGGATCATTCGTGAGAACGGTCCCAGTGCTATTTTTAGGAAAGAAAGAAATCGTGAAGTCCACTGGACGTAACAAAGAGGATAGTGAAGAAAAGGTGGTTGGAGGAGAAGAAGGGAGGTGGTAATGCGGTAGGAGGACTGGTACCCATTTTTCACTAACAAACAAACGACAATCGGGCGCCACCAAACCGCCAGTAAGAAAATAGTTACAAAATTGTTGCTTCGACCCACTAATAAGCGACAGCCAAATCAGAATACTCAACCCATACCCAACAAATAAGACGGCATATAAATCCCGATTCCGCGGAGGAAAGAGGTCTTCAAGCTCAGTTGTTGTGCGAGTACACTTTTTCAAGTTCGTTCATCCAAGGGGTACTGTAAAAAAAAAACTAACTCCTCGTCTATTGAGATCCGCCGAGAACCCTTCCATCTGCGCACCAAACAACTTGCCACTGACCATCTCCTGTTGCGGTGATCCCACCGCTGCCACCACTTTTGTTGCCGCGCCGCTCCGTGCGCGGTGTATTTTCCTTATTACTCGCTCCGGAGGTGTTCTCTGACGAGAACCGAAAGGATTCTTTGATGGGGTGTGGCTGGTCGGAGGTCACTTCGACGAGGCACCGTTGGATCTCACCGATTAACTTTATTTAACTGAGTTTCACAAGATAGGTTGACGGCAGGCCGACGGCCTGACGGACAAGTGTTTAACGCGTACAGTATGTTAGCGGATACGCGATAGTGACAAGTGCCCCGATCTCGGGCTTTCCTCTGGTTTTAAGCCCGATGACCGAGGCGTCAGCGTTCTCGGTACTCGATCGAGGTTTCTCGGTACTCGATCGAGGTTATGCGTAATCGGGTCGAGAACTTGCTGACTTCTTCTCCGAATTTAATTAGGTTGCGCGGTTGGGCTTTTGTGGCTCGATCGCGCAATATGCTTACGCTAGTGTTATTTTACATGCGATTACATTGCTTGAGTGCCCTCCTTACCTCTTTCGGCAATCGGGGCACAACATCCCTCCCCCTTTGGAAGAAGGAAAACTGAGGGATGAAGTTTTCCGCTAATGGGTTTACCCTCTCTCTTTTTTCCTTGTTCTTTACAGTTGTTACGTCGTGTTCTCCGCGGGGTGACCTTCTATTGGACACGTAACGATTGGACACCGCTCGATTGGACACGCATTATTGGACACGCATTATTGGACACCAAAATCATTGGACACCGCATTATTGGACACAAGCATTTTCGGACACCGCATTATTGGACACCGCATTATTGGACACCGCATTATTGGACACCGCATTATTGGACACCGCATTATTGGACACCGCATTTTTGTACACCGCATTATTGGACACAAGCATTGCAAGATTGGACACTGCATTTTCGGACATCGCATTATTGGACACCGCATTATTGGACACCGCATTATTGGACACCGCATTTTTGGACACCGCATTTTTGTACACCGCATTATTGAACACAAGCATTGGGATTGCGTCCACTATCTCAAGTCCCTTTTTATCGGGACTGGCTATGCGGAAGGACGCCGCACAGAGAACACTGTTTTTCTCTCGGCACGCTCCAACAGATGCGCGTCGAGAGTCGGGCGTATCTATTAAAGGGCTCGAAGTGGGTCAGTGAGCCAAAACTCGCTATGACGCCCTTCGAGCTCCTACACGCCCGTGAGTCCTCTTTTGGGTCAGAGAATTTAATCTCTTTACCCGGGGACGGACCCGGTGCAATCTTAAAATTAGCGGGAAGGAATGGGAGGTTCTTTTTAATTGATTGGTAGTTCTTTTTATAATATTTAAACTTTATTTATATATATATATATGTACATGAAGATATACAGGGTGTCAGATTCGATATGGACAATCCCAAAGATTATAGTAGATTGGGTTAAACTGAGAAGAAAAGTTATATACCATTTTACAAAATCCGTAATTATTATCGGCCGAA